GGGGTGGGGGAAGTGATGACAGGGAGGATAATAATCGAGATGGACAGATAAGGTGGGAGGGAGTGCGGAAACAAAGAGATGACAAAAATAAAGCAGGAGATTATTCGGATGAAAATATTCACAGGACCAATGATGGAACTGGAAAAAAAATGGAAAAAGGAGGAATGATGAATAGTTTCGATGCACTTTACTGGCTCACCTCTCCAGTTGTCTTCAGGGAGAGGACGTGCGCTCACTTTTGTGCACAGCGACACCGTGTGAGGAAGTGACTGGTCACTGACTCGGCTGACTAATTGTCAGTTTCTCGATATCAGCGGTGGCCTCGGTTTTCTTTCAGCGCATCTGTCCACGAGCCCTCTGGCTCATCGGCACACGTAAACACAAATTAATCAGTGAAAAAACCAAGCGTGCCCTGTATGTACACAAAGTCAGAGCCTACACACACATGCGCACACACAGACACAGTGCTGCCTGCGGCATTAAGGCCATCCTGCCACATCTAATAAAGTCTGAGGATGGACTCAGTAGGCCGTGGCATGGTGTCCACTCTGCTCTGCTTCGACAGCAGCTGTCCTAAGCTTGATTTACAACGCGTCTGTTGTGAGTCTTAGAAAGCGTAATCTGTGACTTCTTATGACGCTTTCAATTTGCTGCAACTTGCCTCCCCTGAGCTCCATTTTAGCTGCTCACCAAGCCAGAGCTCACACCGTCCCCGGGACCTTAAACTGTTTTCGCTTTAGCTACCAATATCGCTCCCAAGTGACCTGGGGTGACACAGAATCGGTAGATTTGGAGGTGGGGAGGATAGAAATCAGCAGCTCTCACCAGAATTCTGTCCTCAGATTTGCCACTCCTGGTCTCCTGCTTGATGGCTCGCACAAACTTAATGGTCTGTTTGTCCAGCACCTTTCTGATGCTCTCTGGAAAGAAAGCAGAGAGATATAAAATGCRAGAGTTAATTAGGTAGTGTTACAAAAACAGCTCTGCCTTTGGAGTAACAGAAGACGTTTGCAAAAGGCTTTTAAAGGATGGATACTTATACATTACATGTAGAAAGTGTGACAAATGAGCATAAGAAARCATCAATAAATAAACAAATAATTACTGTATCATCTGTTTTAGTTCCAGTTTTTTTTTTACATATGAATGCATCAACACCAAAAAGTCCCTTGGTCTGTACCAAAAGTGGTCTTTATTTTTTTTATTTTTTTCATTTGGTGTGGTTTGCATTCACATTGTGCATTTTTGCAAGCAGACTATATAAACAAAGCCATGCAGGTGACAATCTTTTTTCCCATTAGACAGATACTGTATGATGGAGGTGATACAGAGCACAGACCCAGAAAGAAAAGTGGTGCTGTTAATACAATTGCAATACCATTTAGAATTTKTAATCACGGTTTCGCAATGATATAGTTCTAATTTTGGGATGGCGTTGGCAAATGTGTGCCGTGACCCAAGGGAGACCAGCTGCGTTACCTGACTTATAATGGCTCGTTGTTTGTAGCGTAGTGGTAACGTTAGCAACACTGAAGGGCTAATGTTTTAACRATGATGCTTAGCAACAGTGACTCGTGAAGTCCAAAAAGGCGTATGTTTCCAGTAGTTGGTTCAATTCAAGGCTGGTCTGTATTCACCCCAGACGCAAACRGCACCAGAGTTCATTTGGAAGKGGGTCGGTCGTGAACGTTTYGGCTCCAAGAGCCGGCTCTTTGAAGTGAACGACGGCAGCMGGCTCCCCATTGAGAGCCGTTCTYGTATTTTATTMTATTTTTTTAATAAAAGCCATGGACAGAACAGACGCAGGTATACATGTGGGACATGTCTCCCACACTTCCTGTATCTGTGTTCTCTGTCCACCACACTTTTTTCATCCATTCCAACTGTTTAATATGTTATTAAAGSGAGGTAACGTATTTTTTACTCTAAATGCACCATAAGCTAACACCGGTGTTTACAACTGTGGGTCATCGAGAGGAGTYGTGCTGCTGCAGAGCTGCAACATGTGGGTCAGAAACAAGCTAGAACCAGCAAAAAGCAAAAATACTTTGACAGTTTTTGCCAAACAAAACATGTAAGTTGAGCCATGCTGTTGGAGGTGTCTAATGTTAGTTAAATGAATGAGTTAATACATGCCAATACAACTAGTAATCAAGAATAGACTACTATTGTTGTTACTTTCATTACATATCTTGTTAGTTTATGCTATAAACCCAATCCTTTTTAGTTTCTGTGCAGAGGGTGTGCTCCCTTGCTTTCCACAAACATATTTAAAATAAATCTTTAATTTCACWATAAAAGGAGCAAAGYCAGGAAGGAGACATTAGCAGGTCCAGCAGCAGGGACCATGATGATGCAGAGTCTTCTCAGGTAAAGACAGATCAGGACAGATTCAAAGATATTTCAAAGTTAACCTACTCTTATTCACACTCCAAAACATTTTATTTTGTTATTTTTTTCACTTAGGTTCAAAATAAAAATGGATCTGATAATATTATTTTGTAATATAGTTAAATGAGAGATGACTGTTTTAGTTCAAAAGCAAAAAAAAAAAAAAAAAACTGACAAATGTTTAAAGATGTAGTTTACATTTAGACATTTGTTTTTTATTAATTGTTTATTTTCTAACATTTGACTATTGCATTACATATTTTCTTAAAGGCAGCAGGTATATGACATGTCCATTTTCTTTAGCATGATAATTTTGCACATCCATGTTATCACATTTAAATAGATGTCCCCTCAAAGGCCCAGCATAATATTCAAAGTTAATAAAAAAAATAAAAGTTTGAGTAAAATATTAAACAAAAATAATTAACAAAAGTTACTTGACTGCTTGGCAACAAGACAAATACAAAACAGGCAATTATAAGGAGTCTCAAAAAACACTTTCAGCATTCATATTTGCCAAGTTAAGCTAAAATATGAGTCTACAGATGACAACAATAAGTTAAGAGCCGTTTGGGAGCCGAAAGAGCCGGTTCTTTTTGGGAGCCGTTCTACAAGAGCCGGTTCTTGAAAAAAAAGCCAAACTTCCCATCACTATTTGGAAGCAGAGCTTTTGAGGTGGTCCCAGCCTCGATTGTTCGGGACACATCAGGGTTCGCATTAGTGTACTACATAAAAGGTTCGGACCAACAAGGGAAAAGACTAAATTTGCCAATATGAATACACCCTTAAATTAGCACTGTCTCAAATCAATGATACAAATTTGATGTCTAATCAGCAATTAAACAACTAAAATCTTAATAAAGAAGTATTTTGAAATGGTAAAAACGTTTGGGTAAGCTGCCTCTTGAGCAACAACAGTGATCAGATAAAACGTGTTGACAATAAAACTTCAGTAATTTCAGCTTAACTCATCATAATAAAATGTGTTAAACAGCAGCAAGTATTCACTGGCTGCCAATTTTAACAAAATACTTTAATAAATATTAAATTTTGTGTATGCATGTGTGT